TAATCTTTTATGTTTCCCCATCACAACTCCACGACTTTGGGAACGGAGTTTTAATTTTTACCATTTTGTCATTTGTGCCACACACTATAATTTATAGGTAAATGATATAATATGATATTACAATGAAAAAGAAACACTTAGATCTCAGTCATAGTAGAAAAATCAAATGTATATACACAGAATATATTAAATATTTTTCAATATTATAAAATAAATATAAAAATCTTGGAACTCGCTCAATTGCAGAAATATTATGAATGTGTTAAATTTTAATTCAATGATAAATCATTATTTTGTTGATTATCACACTATCTCTTCTATTTAGGAGTAGGTTAGGTCAGTCGAAGATTGTGTTTTTTAATTTAGTGTTCTGCTTGAACTGATGGGCTTAATATTTGATTAGGATGAGCTTTTTTAATTTTTTTTTTAAATCTAAGTATTTTGTTATGTGTTAGTTTTTATATTTTATTATAATATTATTTATTGGCGAAAAGTACAAGTCCAAATATTCGATAGTATAATATAATATTATATTGAGTATTAAACTATTCAGTAGTTATGAACATTGAAATTCATCTCTGACGCACCTATTATTATGTAACCTATCAYGGATAGTWCTATCACGATATAACTATCATTATTACTATCACGGTATCACACCGTTTCGACGTTGAACTATTGTAATATTTTCTTTAGACTAGTGTAGAATAGTATCGTTACACAGATACACGTTACATCAAGATTCCACATGAATATTTAGGGATTGGGTACATGGGTAGGCACTATATGAATCAGTTCTACAAATTACAAGTAATTTTCAATGTGGATTACAATAATCTAATAATAAATCGAACAATCCGTTCAAATCTAGTAAACGAACAAATTAAATTAATGATATTATTCATTTAATTTGCTTATAGATTATTAATAAGGTAKGCTTTATTCAGTAGAAATACATAGATCGTACAAGTTATTTATTATAATTGGAAGTTAATATATTTATTCATATGATTTTGAAACCGGTTTAAAATCATTAACTGATAGAAAAAACTGAAYATAAGTGATTAGCTACTGAAGACTATTCAATAACAAAATCGATGAATCTATAACAAACGTAAACAATCACTACCCAGTGGACCTGGTAGTGTATTAAAGGTATAAGGGGTATACTTAGGTGCTATTTTCTACTCAGAGTACAAAAATTCYATATCAACGGATGGTGGGTTGGCTATACAGTCCACGTAAATATTAATTCTTTTTAAGTTGTACTTCTTTTCGCAAGGCAGTGAAAAAAAATAGATCACGTGACCGTTACGTTTGAACGTCGGTCCGTTCGTCTGTTTATTCCGTTTGCTGCAGTGATGTAGGCTCTTGACGAAAAAAGTAGTGATTTAMGCTGATGTCTTGGTGACAAAATACAATAGTCTGCATAATATCTTTAAGTCGAGGAGAAAGAARATAGATACATTTTTCCACAGCGGACGTAATATTACAAAATTAAGTACTGACAAATTTCATACACATTTCATAATCTTGTCTATGTTCGTTATTCAAAAAATACCTATCATAATATAAAAAAATCACTTGTTAATCGAGCCAGTAGTTTCTGTTTTATTTTTATTTTTGAGATTATAGTGATTATACCGAACATAAAAAAGAGACTTTCATTTAAAAAGAGCCATATCGTTTATTTATAATAYGATTCACTAAACTGAAATAAAATAAGTACTTGACATTTAGAATAATATTATCGTCTATAATCAGCAACGATTCTWCCATTTGATTGAATATATTAGTTTTTATTCGAATTCTACGTGTAGGTAATATTATAATTACATAATATGTACTGGTTAATGTTTCCAATTTCCATTTAAGACCAGGGTGGCATTTTTTTTGGAATCTAAGTGGAACTAAAAAGCTAGTTTTTTTACAATGATGATWTCTAATCTTGCAGGTTATGTTTTTGCTCTCAGCAGAGCAAATGGTAAAAATCAGTAACCATATACATATCCGAGTACCACAACCGTAAGGATTTACGAATGTCAAAAGGTGTTACTTATGAACAGTATATTATACTTACATCCTGAATTCGTAGATTAAATAATGGTCAAAAATGAGCACCACTGAAAGTTGAGTCATCGTGTTAGAAGTTACGTTAGTCACTTTTTGTACACCTGCAGGAGCTGCAGTGCACCGTAGATGAATGTTTTGTTGGCTAGAAGTTAAAACATTATATTGAACGTCCGTATATATTTAAGAAGAGGGGATGTTCGACATGCGCAATCACGTGAAACCTCGCAGGGGGGGGTTCTATTTCTCGGTGCTATAGGACTAGAATACGTTTTAAGGGTGGGATAGGTCTCGAGTCCTCTCGATATTCGATCGAAATACGCAAATAATGTCATAATAATTCATGATGCGTATAGGTACAGGTACAACACACGATGTGCACTTAATATTATTATGATCGTTTGCGCAGTTGTTGGTTGAAAAGTCTCTTACCTGAAGTATACGTTGGCGACGTATGTGTGTTGGCCGGATACTGTGGCGATCTGTTGACGATTTAATGCAATATCCGCCGCCGCTGCGGAAGTTCTGCACAGACTKTCGAGCTACGTCCACGCCACGCACATCACATACGCTTTTGGTTATCGACGAAAAAATCGATTTATGTTTATTTTTCTTGCTCGAAGGGGGAACAGCGCGCGAATGAGGAAAAATTGGAAAGACCTACYGAAAAAATCCACGTAAAATATTATTGTGCTGCGGTCAACATTCGTGATGATACGAAAACACAATATTATTGTCGCTTCGATAGCGTTACCGTTTACCATTACGATACCGCGACGATGATCGTTGTCCGTCGTAGTACGAATACCGCCGGCAAAACGACAATAATAATATTATATTATWATATCGTAATAAATTAACGACACATGGTTATAGTAAGTGTAAAGACGGCGGCAGGCGATATATATATAATAATAATAATAATAATAATAATATAATATAATAATGAGTTAGTCGTGATGGCTGCAGCACGCTGCCGCTGCTCCTATATCACTAGAACTGCACACGATTACCGTCGTCGGCGRCGTCGCAAGTTTCCTTCTCTTTTCAACGCGCCGCAATACTGTTATTACAATATATACATAATATACTGTACTAATATAACACGTATGACGCGCTCATAATATATYATATTATTATATTTTATATTTTTTTCATAAAAATATAATATGGTAAACTATATGTGCGAGTTTTACACGTTCGTCCATGCGTGTGTGTCGGTGTTTTTTTATTTTTCATCTTACAAAATATAGTAATATAACATATTCCGGTTCTCGAATCGTGTGGCTGAAGCAGTACCCGCGACCATATTATTATAATAATACGCGACATGGACTATATTATATTATTATATCATGTGTGTGTATTACATTATGCGCGTAGTGGTTTACCTAACCTTACGCGCGTTTTTGTTTTTAAGTATAATAATAATAATAATGATAATAATGACGACAGACACGTCCATACAAGTACCTAATATGCTTGCACCCGTCATGGTCGTCTTTCACGCGCGTTCCGCCCATCGCCGCAGACTCATAGGTATCTCAATTCACCTAATTTATTATAATTATAATCATTATACCTACTGGACCACGCGTGTACCTATACCATGACCGGTGGGCAGACTCTTAAGTGCGTAATTTATTCATCAGTGTACGACGAAAACGATTTAAAATGGGTGAAATATAATTTTTAATCGATCAGTTAATGAGTGTAAAAAAAAAAAAAATTGTTAGTAAATAATATAAGAATAGTTTGTACGTGGAAATGTGTGGAACACGTATCCGTCATTTGGAGCAAGGTCGCAGAGAACAGACCGAAGCAAACTTCAAAGTCCATCAAGCTACATACATTGAAATAACACCAATTGGAACAATATAGTATCTATATTTTGCAGCTAGAGAGAGAAGCAAGCCATTGCTTWAGCAGACTACGTGTGTGGCATGAACTACACAATATATTATATAATCTTTTGCTACTCCTCTGTACTCGTAGATCACGACAAAAGTAGTGCAAGACTCAATGTAATAACTAGARGTTAAATTTCATTAATTCTACGAAAACAATTTCACGGTAGAAATGTTATTTAATTTTAGTACCTAAACCTAATCTAGCTTAACAGTAAGTTATTTACAACCATAACTGTGTGATGGAAAGAGGACCTGTTGCTGGCTTGCACCGTTTAACCATCATCTCACAGAGAGGCACATGCCATCATTTTAATTTTGGGTGAGTGCTTCATACCGGTTAGTAGGGTTCTGAATAATTGGCTTTGTCAGTTTTAGAAGAGTTGGGGGATTCAGGTTGGAGTTTGWTGAATTTGAAAGCAGTCTTTTATTTCGATAAGGCATTTTCCAGCAATCACCTGTGTTGGTTAGTTTAATTGCAATTTTTTTTTTTTTAGTCATCATACTCGTATTTAGGGTTTGTATTATTCTTGGTCATGTTCAAGGTAATTAAGAAAAATACAAATATAGTTGAAGATAAATAGTAAATAGTTGAAATTAATATTGATCTCGAGCGTTGCCTCTCGGGCCTTCCGATAAACGACATCAGCCGGTACCTCTGTGTTTATATGTGCATTATGTAATACTGTTATTTGTAATAGAACGTAAAKTATATATAATATACCCAATAGATAGGGTACACTTTATCACTCATTGCCTATAAATATCTTTCAATTCTGTTTGCGGGACATTAAACATTTTTTKAAATTTTTACCGATCAGTAGRAGCGTAATRTTTGCTTTCGCGACACATTAGTTACCCCTAATGTCCATTGCTTATWAATAAACRATACAATGTAAGTTGAGTAGTGGTAGGACATTCCCCCACGTACTAACCCATACAGCAAAATAATACAAATAATAGSGCGCTATCCCCACAACTTTACTATTCTGGCTACAATGTAATGTTAACTAACTAAAATACTGAGCTGTTAAGCATTCCATCTGCTYCCTTCCTYGACAGCACTGTAACTATGAATTTAGCCATCATGTCCCATTTAGGTTTRGACACGAKCATTACCTTCATCATGGTATCTGGGGTCAGCGAGATGTCCAACGCTACTTCCAGCTCCCTCCGCAATCGCCACCACCTGTCGCACTAAAAAATCTATGCTCCACATCGTTTAATAAATTCCCGCAGAAGAAGCACTTAAAATCTTTCCTCTTTTTGAACCACCTCAGGTGTACATTGAAACAGCCGTGACCTATTAAGAATTGGGTCAATTGAGATCCCACTTGCCCTGTTTCTTCTTGTTGTCCATCGCRAAATTATTGGAATAAGCTTGTTTGTCCAACGACCATTGTCTGCGGCTATMTATTCTGATTGCCACCTTTCTGCTACACGGACACCAGCGTTTTGTTTAGCTGTTGATATCGGAACTCCACTGGTTTTGTCACGTTCAATCTCTGCTCTTTCTATTGCCAACAAGTGTATCGACGAAATCCCTGCAACTACCACGGCASCCTCATTCGAGACGGTGCAGTAAGCACTTGTGACGTGTAACGCTATTTTGCGTTGTGGGGTCGCCAGAGTTTTCTTGATCCTATCATTTACCAGAGCTGCATTCCAAATCGACGTAGCATATAGCAGCAACTGAACTACGGTGGACAGCAAACATTTGGCATGAGCCTCGACAGTGCAGATGCCGTTTTGTCGCTTYCTCGCTGATGGTTACTATATGTTGCCTAAAACCCAACACGGAGCTGAGCTAGAATTCTTAAATATCAAATGTGCACACAAAGTACTATTTGCAGTTTGYACACTCTTGTACATAAAGATTGGCTTCTCGTATTCGCGTTTGGTGGTCAACATGACGGCAGTGGATTTGGAGCTGGATATGATGAGCCCATGACAATCTATCCATCCAGCMACAATTTTCAGTGAATCGTTCATTGCAACCTCCAGAAGCCTTGTTGTGTGATCCGTGGCAACGATTGCTGCATCTTCAGCGAAACACACAATGCGTACATCTTGGAGGAAATTTAGACGAACAAGGCTGTCATAGAACATGTTAGGTTAGGTTACGCCCAATTGCCCGTGTCAAAACGTCCACYTGGGCGTGCCAACGGGTCCACATCCCCATTTCTATCCTCCATTAGATGAGGCCGGGAGAACTAATGTTGCGGCTGATCTTAATTGGTTGGAGATGACAGGTATTGCAACCACCTGCTACTACCAGAAGGGGCAATGAAGTTCCTAAATCAATAAACAGAATTATTGATATTAATGTGCTTAACGAGGACAACATTTTTGCAAAAGATAAAAGGATATATACATTTTATGGTGGACCTTGCCAAGAAGACGCAAAATATCTATAAGGAACTGAAGGATGTCCTAACAAACACCGGTATAGTACTTAATTAATACGAGAAGGTTAAAAACGCCGCCTCCAAAGAAAATTTAACCAGGAGTAATGGCATTCAAAAGATGAATACGTTTGACAATGGCTCGCAAATCGATGAGACTCTCCAGGAAACACTTTTCGAGAACCTGTCAGATGCAAAAGTTTTAAGGCAGTCATTGCATGACAACTTGATCATGAACACCATACAAAAACTTTAGATCCAGATGTCTCTTCAGCAAAGTGCTATCGATGATTTAATCAATGCATAGAACGTTCAAACTTTYRCATACATGATTCTGAGGGTAATGACCATCACGAGGTTCAAACAAAACGTGTAACAGCGGAGCCTAATGATAAGAASCRGAAAGGCAAAAAGATATTTCAGAAGACTAAGTTAAYAGTACTAGACCATCCAGGCCGAGAATCTTCAGCCGGGTCTTAGRYTAACGTTRCTGAGAAAACCACTATCGATGATACCGGATATACAGTGGTCAAGRAGAATAAGAAGAAACTTAAACCAGTGCTTCCACCAAGAGTTCCCTCAACCAGCGCAGAAAAAGATATAGCGGTAACTGATGAAGGACAGCCACTGATGAACGACTCTAAGGTGGTTAAAAAGTCTGTGTATAAAAACCGCCAAAGCAAATGATCCCCGGCAGGTGATGAGCCAAGTGTACGGCGTAAAGATRCAGGAAGCATGGACAATGCTCATACTTTGAAGAATCAGGCAATCGCAATTGGCCGATTGGCTAATGGAATTACGTATGCATACATAATGAAAAAGATGCTYTCGGAAGTCAATCTCCAGGAGCTTGGTGTCGAAGTTGCTACGACAGGCYACGCGAAGGCTGGTGAGATATTACTAGAAGTCAAGGGAAATAAGGGTTCTAATCTTCTGGCGAATAGATTAAGGGCCTCTGTTGGTGACAAGGCCAGAGTTTCCAGACCTACCAGGACCACAAAAGTGTTGGTGGTCAATATACCTGACTGGCTTGGGGAAGAGCGCGTTATCCGTGGHATTTGCCTAGTAGACAGTGACCTACAATTGGCACCAATTACGGTTAGGGACAATGTCGGTGGTGGTCGTGTCACTATCATTGTGTCTCCTATGGCCACAGCGCTTAGATTGTTTGAGATGCGCTCGATCAGAGTGGGTTTGCGACGGTGCAGAGTCAAGCTGCTGGAAAACCGTGAAGTAAGATGCTTCTGTTGTCAAAGCCGTGGTCATATAGAATCCATCTGCACAGCTCCTATTGGTGAAAAAAAGTGSTATTGTTGCCACGCACCTGAACGTCTCATTGTGGACTGCAAGAGTGACAGAAACACGCATTATTACAGCTGATCTTCTGGTGACCGGAGCATTTCCCAGGTTGTAACTTACAGCCTGGGAAAGTTAGTTGTGTGACTAATGGTGTAAGTTCAGAACTACCAAAGAGCGAATCAAGAGAAGGTTTTAAAGCTGCTGTCATTGCCTAATTGAATAGGTGATTTGGTAATATTGTAATATTTAACATATTATGTTCTTTGGCCACATTGTTGGATCCACGTTTTGAAAACTTACATTTCAAGGACCCGGTGGCTGGCGCAAATTCTATAAAACGCCTCAGGGTAATGGTTCTCAACAACCACATKACATTATCGTCTTCTTMTTCAGAGGAAGAAACCAATTTGAAAGTGCCAAAGAATGTGCTCTGAGAATACTACCAAGGGCTAGAACATAAACGATCTAGTTCAAAGGCATTTAAAMGCAAGAAAACTAATACCCATTCACCATCAGATCAACTAGTAATTAATTATCTATTAGCACCAGTCACTCCATTGAAMYAAAATTCATTAGAAATGTAGGAAGAAATGAAATCGGTTTATTCATTGAGTTATATGGAAGCACAAAAAGTATTTTGTATTGTTGCGACGTATGTTCCTTCTGAAAGGCTATTCTCCAAAGCTGGAGCTACTCTTTCCAAAGAAAGAAATAGGTAATTTATTTATTTTAATTGAATATATCATAAATGTATGTTATTTTGTCATATACTAATTAATTATTTTTTTTTTAGCTTATCGGGAAAAAGACTTTTTAAGCTGTTATTCCTGGAGTCCTGGAGATTGATGACTGTTATTGCCTATTGGTTTGATAATGAATAACTTTTTATTATTTTAGTTAGGTATTATAAAAAAATCCATTAAAAATGTACATYAATATTTTTTCTATTTATGAATATTTATGTTATTTTATTACTGCTTAGTATATTACTTTTTATAACGCATATACTATATAAAATATATATGTATTTATATTTTATGAAGTGTACCTTGTTTCTTGGAACACACAGTATATATATTATACATTTAAGTATAATATTGTGATTAAATAAATGATTCTGCACATTTTTATTATAGTAACATCCTCAAAATATTTATTTCTTCWGTCTTAGATTCTGAACTATATTTTATATTAGTCAGCATATCAACATGAGCACCAAAYATACAGAACACATTAAATTGTAAAAAAAACTAAGCACAACCTTTAACCCATCCTGTCTGATTCTGGTGATATGTCAGGTACATCTAGAAAAAAGGYTTTAATCCCCTCTTCGGCCTATYTAAACGATTTTATGTCTTTCTTCAAATCTGCTAATTTTTCAGATTTTATTGTATCTGTTAATAATTAATCCACCGTTGCCATTTTTCATGATCTACACTCTACAAYCCATTCAATCTCTTTACGAACTTTAATCTAATGTTAATTTCTCTTCCGACGAAAATTATTATTCTTACAATTTTCAAATTAAAAAATAATTTAGTCCTTTATAATGTTTACTCTCTCCTTCCGATACATCAACACTGATTCCATCTTTATTTCTTCTCTTCATCTTTATTTCCAGCCATCGATGTGCCTCGTCTACTTTCCTTCATATTTTTTAACGTTATCTCCATTTAGTTACATTTAGTGCAATTTACTATTTGAAGCATGACATGTGACGATTTACATATTTTTTCTAAATCGTTTTGGACATTTAGTATACTAATCTTATGTACGTAATATATTATGTGCACGTATATACAAGGTGTCTCGTGAATATWTACCCATTGAAATTCTGGGTTTGCAATAAGAATCTCAGGGATAAAAAGTATAATTATTTCATATTTCAATTTATTTTAATGTTTTAGTAAAAAAGTTAAAAAATATATATTTTTATTTAATTATTTCTAAAAAAATTGACCATAGCAATTTTGTAAAGTTTATTTTTCTGAAAATATTGACTTTTCAAAATTTTACTTTCATTAATTTCCTGATTTTTAATTTTTTTTTTTAATTTCGAGAAAAATTTCGAATTATTKAACACCGTAATGTTATCAAACATGTGACCCGCCGAATACTTTCTGTGTACCATCCTAGTTATAATCATATTTTATCTCTTCAAAACTATAAAAAATATTAAAAATCAGGAAATTAATGAAAATAAAATGTTGAAACGTCAATATTTTCAGAAAAATAAACTTTACAAAATAGTTGTCTTTATTTTTTTTTTTTGGAAATAATTAAATAAAAAAATATATTTTTAAATCTTTTACAAACACATTGAAATAAATTTAAAGTTGAAATAATAATGGTAGTTCCTATTCTTGTGAATCTTATTATAAAACCAGAATTTTGATATCTCTATTATTTCGTGAGATATCGCAA